CATAGCCCTCTCCCAGAGTCTCACAGTGACCTGGGCCAGAGTGGCCCCAAAGTGGGACCTCCTGACTCCTAGTCAGTCCCATTTCTCTCTACTGGTTAGATTTTAAGAATGAGGAGAGTCATCTATTGAGAACACTGTCCATGGGCTCCCATTCCATCCTTAACCAGGTCAGGTCAAAAGAGCTACTTGAATGGATGGGCTGAGGGTCGTTAATGAGACCCAGCATGGCCTCAGCCCCTCCACATGTAGTCACTGAGGCTGTGGCCTTCCTGGAGACTATACACAGGCAGATGGACAGCTTTACAGACTGACTATTGAAGGCTTCTTTGATCTTTTTTCTCCACTCACCAGGATGTTTGAGATCTATCCCTGTAGCTGTATCGAGAACTAGTTCATTCCTTTTAACTACTAGGTAGACATGCACTGGATAGGTACATTTTACTTAGTTATTACCTACTGGAGACATTTAGGCTCTACCATCTTGCTGCAAACAAGGCTGATATACACATTCTTGTATAGGTCTTCTGGCACTAGGGTATGTTTCTTTAAGCCTTAGGCTAAAGTATGTATTTATAAGTACAATTACTGAGTCATAGGGTATGCACATTTTTAGCAATGATAGACACAGCCTCCCCCAACAGTGGTTGTACCAATCTATACTCAATTCCCCCACAAACATAATAGTTTTACATGAACTAGGAACCACAAAATCAAATGTTCTTTTAGCTAAGTTTAATCTGGACTTCTTTGATTTGAAGTAGCTTGGAGTCCAGTACCGCTGACAGAGTTGGGTTGGTCCCAAATTGTGACTATTCAGAGCCATCACATACTTCAGAGACCTTGGGCCTGAGCATCCCCATCCGTTCTCACCTGTGAAGGCTCAGTGAAGGCCTGGCACCTTGGGCCAGTTGCCATGAGTGACATGTTTGACCTGTTTCCCCTACAGTTCTTTGTCTTGGATGTTGTCATTAATTTCCGCCGTCTCAGTGAGGGGGATCTGTTCACTCAGTTGAGAAAGATAGTCAAAATGGCTTCCAACGAGGATGAACGTTTGCCTCCAATCGGCCTGCTGACATCAGACGGGAGGAGCGAGTGGGCTGAGGCCAGGACGGTCCTCGTGAAAGGTCAGCAGCAGTGTCCAGCACATCTCCACACTCATCTCATCCTCTCACGCCCATTGGCTTTCCCTCCTCCAGGGTCAGGCACCATGCCTCATCCCCATTTGCCATTGCATGGGGGGCTCAGGCCTCCCTCCAACTCAGGACCTGGCAACAAGTTCTGCTGTCGGACGATACACCTTGACGCTGACCCTCTTATTTCAGCTTTCTGGGTGAGGCTGATTAGCACTGGAATCCTGGCTTGTCTGGGAATACTGGGCAAGGGAAGATTTTGAGCTGGAAGGAGGCTGGCTATAATTAAGCAGTTGTGTTTTTCTTGTGGGCAGGGATCATTCTCATTTAAGGGGTCTGTGTCACTGGGAGAGCTGTCAGATGGGGATTTGGGAGGGAGCTCACTTCTGGAAGGGTGGTTGGTTGCCTCCTTCATGTGATTTCTTGGTCCTAGAACTTCTCATTTTCAAGCTGACCTTATCCTTCGGACTGGCTGCTCCCTTTGTGAATGTTTCCAAGCATCCCTATAAGAAAGCTAGTAATAGTCTTAACATTTTTAAATCATACTTCTGGAAACTACTTTTCAAATCCAAAGCCAGTCATATTCCCAGGAACTGGATGGAGAGCCTACCTTTCTTGCATAGGCTAGAGATTCTTGGATGACAGATGAGACTTCTGTGAGCCTCCATCTACCACTCGGGCTTTCACTTGGCTCAGTGTCCATCAAGACTCCCTGAGTGTCTGTAAGCTGAGGACCTGGGCTAGGCCTGGGGAGTATAAGAGGCAGAGAGGATGAAAACTTTACCCCCAAGCCCACTTGAAAGAAACAGAGGAAAAGAGGGCTTGCAGGAGCAGGTTCAAATACATGGTAATGTGACATCTATCCACTTAACATAATAGACACAGCAGGTGCCAAATAAATGCTTCAAGACTTCAGAGTGAGAAGGGAGCCCTTCCAATTGGGAGGCTTTAGAAAGGCTTCTTTAGAAGAGGTGGGAATTGAGCAAAGTCCTGTGACATAAGTGAGAGAGGCAGGAGAGAAGGATAGCATCCAGAATGGCAAACTGACTGTGGGCAAAATCAGCAGGCCAGCAGCGATGCGCCTGCCCTACCATGAGGCAAAGATGGCCATACTGGTCATACTGGGAGAATAAGAAGGCAGCAGGACCTGGCTCTCTGGCAAGAGGTACTTAGATTTTCTGGTCCCTCTCCCTAGAAAGTTCTTCTCACAGGATTGGCTGGCTCTTTGCACCATCTAGATCTCACCTCAGGTGTTACCACCTTAGGCCCTCCTTGAGCATCCCTCTCCTAATATGCTCTGACTGCATTTCTCACTCTCATTTGTTTGAGTCGTGCTGATTATCTGCCTTCCTCTTCCAGTCAATAAAGTCCAGGAAGGGCCTTATCTATTTGGTTTAATTTTTGAATCTGCCATGCCAAGCACAGTAAGGGCCCAATTATATTTGTTCAATAAAAGAATGAAGGGCTACTAAATATACTAGGCCCCAGACTTATTTCTCACTTACCAATTAAGTATTCTTTCATCCAGTTATTGGGCACCTATGAATGCTTCTTCCTAAATCAGGGACTACGCAGGCCACCAGGAGGTGTGAGAACTGAGCTCGTTCTCATAGACCTAACCAAGTTGAGGAATTAATAATTTATCATTTGAAAGTGAGTTAATTCCCTCAGGAGACCATGTTGTAATCAAATCCCACTCTTCTCCTCTCCAGGGACAGCCTGAGGCATCAAAATAATCGCTTCTGCTTCCAGTACAGTTTCCACTTTATTAGCAGGCCAGGCCAAGTCATCTCCCTGCTCATGATTGCCTTGAGGTCTCAGGGCTTGGACTGCACTAATCAGAATTAATTTGTTAATGGATTTTGATCTGGATTTCTAAATGGAAGTGCTGTTTCTAAGGGATGTGTGACAGAAAGGAGGGGCACATGCACCTTCCCTTCAGAAGTCCGATTAATCCAGTTAGCACTGACTGTATCATCTGCATAGCAGAAAACCAGTCCTTTACAAAGCCCTCCTCTCTGGAACGGCCACCCCACTTCCCAAGAAGGCAGATGGGGAAACCATTTAGGAAATGATTTCTGTATAAAAGTGAAAGATTATAGCAGCTTGGGCTAGAGTTGAGAGGGAAAGACATGGGTAAGGTCTACATATATTTCAAAGTAGAAGAAGAAGGAAAAGAGAAGTGGCAAAGTCTCCTAAGCTTTAGTTTGAGCAACTGAGTGGATGGTGGTACGATTCACGGAGGTGGGAAACAGGTGGGGAAGTGGCTACAGCATGGAGAAGTTCTTTCCAATTATGTCAGGTTTGAGATGCTTTGAGTCATCCAACTGGAGACATCAAATTAGATCTATGTGTCTGAGCCTCAAGACAGAGGTCAGTACAGAGTTATAAATTTGAGAGCCATCAGCACATAAGTGATATTTAAAGTCATGGACCTGGGTGAGATCATCTAGAAGCAAAAGAACAGGGCCTCGGAGGTCAGGTAGAGAAAGATGCAAAAGGAATCAAATGAGTCACAACAATCCAAGATGGAATGAGGGAGTGGCCAACCACTTGGAATACTGCTGAGAGCTCAAGGAAGAGTCATTGGTGACCTTCATGGAGGTCAGACTGGAGTAGTGGGAAGAGTGAATGGTTGTAGGCTGATGGATGTGATCCAAAAGCAGGGAGAAATTGTTGATGAGGTCAATAAGTAGCATCGGTAAGTGTGGATGGCTCTTTCACAGTTTGGTTTTAAAAGGAGCAGAAAAATGGAGAAATTGCTGGAAAAGGAAGGGGATCAAGGAAAGTGTTTTTAGTACGAGAGGCAAGGGCATGGTTGCATGTAGACAAATTCATGGAGTTAATCCCATAAGAGAATTGTTAATGAGGAGAGAGAAGGTCAATGGAAAGATGGAATTCTTGCAACAGGGATGTGTGACAGAAAGGAAGGGCACATGCACCTTCCCTTCAGAAGTCCGATTAATCCAGTTAGCACTGACTGTATCATCTGCATAGCAGAAAACCAGTCCTTCACACAGAAAACCAGCCCTGGAATTCTTGAAACAGAGCCCAGAGAAAAAGAAGCCTTTGGTTTGTGCAAGGAAAACAGAAACCTGGGTCCGAGATACATAAGATTGTGCTATGGTAGTGGGAGAATGAGGAGGTTCCCGACTGGTGACTTCTGGTCTCAGATCGACAGAGCCACATCCATGAGCTGAGAGGCAGGGGATGAAATTCTGAAGATGAAAGAGAACACATGAAATAGGCTTTCAGAAAGTGGGAAAGAGAACTTACTCATATTTGAGGACTTGTGATCATACATTTTAGGAGAAAAAAATTAGCATTGTTTTGCACCATCCCCCACCCCCACTCCCCACAATGTTCAGCTCTTCAGGTTCAGGCAAGGAGTAGGTGGGTGAATCACCAGTTTTGGACAAAGCTGGTGAATATGACCAAGGGAAGGGTGTGTGTGACAAGGAAACAGTTATAATGTTGGAACCTGAACTCAGTAAGGAGGCATAGTAGTCTGCTCCAGCTGCCATAACAAAGTACCATATACTGAGTGGCTTAAACAACAGGAATTTATTTTCTCACAGCTCTGGAAGCTAGTGATCTGAGATTAAAGTATCAACAGGGTTAGTTTCTTCTGAGGCCTGCCTCCTTGGCTTGCGGATGGCTGTCTTCTCCTTGTGTCTTCACATGGTCTTTTCTTTGTGAATGTCTGTGTCCTAATCTCTTCTTAGTATAAGGACATCAGTCATGTTGGATTAGGGCCCACCCTAATAACCTGAACTCATTTTACCTTAATTACCTCAATAAAGACCTCACTCCCAAATACAGTCTCATTCTGAGGTACTGGGAGTTAGGACTTCAATTTAGGAATTTTGGGAGGACACAATTCAGCCCATGACAGAAAGGAAGTGAAAGACAGACGTGGATGATGGATAGTCGAAATAGGTAGTGGGGCCGATGGTTTTTGGGGTATCAGTGAGGTAAGTCAAGAGTATGGGATGTTTGAAACTGAGACTTCAGTGGGGGTAGTTCCTGGTAGTGATAGTTCCAAGATATGATTGCAGGAGTGGATCCTGAGGCTAGACTGTCAAAGTTGGGAGGTTGAGAGGCTGAGAGAGGAAGATTAGGCCTGGGTCATCCACAAGGACATTCAAGCTACCTGAATGATGATTGGGCACAGGGATATGTACCCCCAGGGACTGCCTCCAGTTGAGGCAGAAGGTGAACAGAACACTTTCAGAAGAGATTACTGATGCAGGGAACCAGCCATCACTAGCCAGGCATCATGAAGGAATCAGGAAAGAGGAAAGGAGAAGGGGTGAGGGCTGAGCCCATGCAGAGGCCACTGGAGCATCAGGGCATGGGAGTGCCAGTGACAGACCTAGGGGCAGTTGTCATCATTCTAAACAATGCTCCCAAACCCTTAACTTCTGGGACGTTATTCTCTCCTAGTTTCAGGAATGCCTACCTGGCTGGAGTTGTTGGGGTGGAAACACATTTCCAGCCCATAGCAGTATCATAATTGACACCTTGAGGTGGGTGCTTTTCAGGACATCACAACTGAAATCCTATGGTCTTCATCTCCCTTCCGGAGACCTGGGCAAACACCAGTGCCTGTGCCCAGTGCCTGGGCAGAGACCAGGCAGGTGTCATCCTGCAAGAGACCTTGGCCAAGCTGATTTCCTTTTGTCTTGGTGGAGCTCAGATGAAATCTGTACCTGAATTCTCAGAGGGTCAACTGAGGCCCTGCAGGACAGGTTGATTTCATCACTCCTTTCTCCTTGAGAGAAGAGGTGGTCCACTCTCTCTATGAGTTCTCAGGCTCCTCAATCTGACTCTACTTCTGTGACAATAAAAGAGTGGAGCTCGCAGAGGTCCAGTAACTGCCACTGTGGCACAGCTCACAAGCGATGGAGCCAGGTGTCTGCAGCAAAGCCTATGCCCTCACTCTGTGCCCAGTGTCTCCATACCCCCACAGCCTCTCACACAGAGCTTCTCAC